GAAGAGCTGATGAGCCTACAAGAGACACGTTCTTTCTCGCGCAAGCGGCATTTGAATTCTCGTGAGATTTTGTGAGCGCACTTCATGTTCTATTGTTTTCTATAGCCGGTACCGTATTGCAAATACAGGAGACACGTGGATCTACAGGTCGCTACTTTTCTCTACAAGTCGCCACAGCATTCTCTACAAATCGCCAGTGAATCTGGGTCCAAAAGCTGTTGAAAAAAAACTTTGGAGGACCAGCTGTTGCGCTACCGCGCCTCTCTTCAAAGCTGGCAGCCGCATTGGGTAGAGCTCCTGGAGATAGGAGGACCATTGGCGTTTGAAGGATTTGCTGCCAAGAGGGGGGGTGGTGGCTGGAGGTCTCAATTCAAGGGCACCTGTTGCACGTAGCTGGGAAAGGCTCCAGGAAGAGCTGTCTTGTTGGTTTTGTTGGGATGAAAGGAATCAACTGCTGGCCACCTGTTTTAGAGTCGGCGTTTCCCCAAGCTTTGTTCACGTATGGCTAAAGCGCCAATCAGCATGAATTTGGAAAATGAGGATTCTCACATTCCACGGCTGCACAAAAGTTCCCCTCGAAGAAACACACAGCTCTTACTGCACAGAGCTTAGGAATTGCAAGACAGGCGTGAGGTTGGCATGTTTCAGCCAATGGCCATTAATCTTGACTCTGGTGTCTAAAGAGTTCTCTGTCGCGACAGCTTCTTTCAGGAATTGCCGCGCTGCTTTGCGGACTTGCCGGCGGTGCTTGGATCGAATCTTGGCCAAAGCCTTGCCAAACCTGAGATGGCTGACGTTGGGCTGGCGGGTCGCTTGAGGGCTGCCCCTACAACCAACCCTTAAGTGTCTATAAATATAGATAGATAGATAGATAGATAGACAGATAGATAAATAGATAGATAGATAGATACAGAGAGAGAGAGAGACGAATTCTGCAAGGTTCAAAGAAATGTTTGGAAACTGTATCATCAACCTCCCATCTAGATTAAGTTTGCTTCGGGCAACTTGAGCGGATAGTGCTGGGACTTTTTGAGGTCTTTCCCCCCTTTGCATCGCCATTTGCCAGCCCCGTCTCGGTATTTAATTGTCATCTCTGGGGCCGACCCCTCCTGAAGTTGCGGCGAACTGCGCTCGTCCAACAAACTGTCGATGCAACGGTGACCTCAGCAGTGCGGCATACCAAACACCAGGGCTCCGTTTCGGGGGCGAATGTTTTCTTTCAAAAGGATTGGGATTGGAATGAGAAGCTTTTGCAACCCATGGGATTCAACCAACCATAGTTTGCAAAGAGGAAAAAGGGAAAGGGCTTTTCATTACAAGCAAAGATACTAGAGTAAAGGTATGTTCCCTTTCTGCTTTCACCTCCATAGTTGGCCATGCAGATTGAAAGTTTGCGCACCCCTCTGAGCAGCGCGAGTGTTTTCTGGAACGTTGGGTGATATTCCATAATGGAGCTACTTGGTTGTTCCACCACCCACCAGGAAGCGGTGGCTGCTGCCAACACACAAAGTACCATGACTCGTGCGGTCATCACATTGCCTTCTTGCACCTTTAGGCTGTCGGGTCTCCCAAGAGGTTGGGATTTGGACCGAAGAGTGCTCCCACGGCTCCTGAGAGAGAGAGAGAGCGTGCAACACACACACTCTCTCAAAACAAAGCAAAAAAGGTCCAACTATGCTACAGGTCCCTTTGCGTGTCCCCAAAAAGACTACATATATAACCAAACAGATGTACTTGCTCATATATCTAACCAATACAGTTTTCATTGTGGCAGCTTCAACTGCTTACTGTAAGAATGCAAATGCAAAGAGTCATGAACACCCACGTAGAGCATACGGGCGCGTGAAGGCTAGCACCTCCAACCCGCGTGCGCAAGGTGTAGTAGACTGCGTTGGCAAACCCTGCGTCCGTTAAGATGTCCATGGTTGAAGGATCCATGTTGATCTCAAAAGGTACTGCTTTTCGCCCTGCCTGCCAACTGAGCAAGTCTTTAAAGTACTACAGCTTTGCTGGACTGTTCAAGAAGGGCGGTACATTAAGCAAAACCACCTTGTGGGTGCAATGCTCCCATAGTTAGTTGGTGTTTTTGCCCTACTTTTGTTTCTAGCCCACCCAGGGTTTCAATAGACCCCTATATTGAAAAAGGACCGAACCCATAAAAGGTGTCAGACTAATCAGGCTCACAGCAAAACCATACCTGCACCTCTCAACATGAACGAACACCACTTCAAGGTTGAAATGCTCCGTTTAACGCAGAACACGCTACTGAAAATGTGGGTAATCAGGCCGCTAGCCTGCTGCTCTCCAATGGTCACTGCCTGGGTGCCCGCAAACGTTTCGAGGTGATCTATTGGTGACCAGTCTAAGCCTGGGCAGCCAAAGACGAGGCTTGCCAGCATTGCCAATACCTTGGACAAAACTGTGGAAACTCAAGGTTGGGTAAAGCACTTGGAGTGGAAAACACTCTTGTTGAAGGTCAACACTTTGTTGAAAGTAAGGCAAATGGCTGCAGGCGCCTTCAAATGTTTCAACCCTTGCAGGACGAGCGATCGCTTCACATCCTTGTGAGACCTTCGCTTTGGCTTGTCGTGAACCGCTTTCTTCTTCGCTGAAGGGACACGGAAAGGCATCGCTTCCTTTTTGGCGACCATTGCAAGACCGATGCCTTCAAAACACAGGGCCAAGTGTTCTCACTCTCACTTGAGCCCACCCCCTGCGTTGACCCTTTCATTTCAACATCGCCGAAGAGATACACATGTTTTGGCCACAGAGACATTGCCTTGTTCATTTTGACACCTTCAATGCTCTCTCCCTTCCAACCCTCTGTTCGCAAGATGTCCACGGTTTTCAGTCCTTGTCGAAATTCAGCCACTCCTGCGGCTTGCGATTGGCTGATTCACTGTATAATTACACCCAAAAGTAAAATCTCAAACACGTGTCTTGGCCGTGCCCTTTTTCTCACCGCCCCTTCATCTAAGGAAGAGTGGCTACACAATTCACCAACATTGCCTTCTTTGCCCCGGCGCCTTGGACGATGAACTGCCGCGAGAAGCGCGCCGCAAGCCCCCATCGCCTGTGAAAGCGAGCATGGATTGCAGGGACATGACGCGGTGCTTCCCCGATAATATCTTATGTCTTAGTGTTTTCATCTTTTTCCTTCGCTACAAATCAGCAGACATTGCGTCATCTGCCCTAGATAGGCATGGAAAAACCCACCGTCCATTCTCTAAGGACGACAGACTCCATGCAACCCCAAACATAGCTACCTGGCAACTATGTAAATGAGAACCTTGCCTTTGGCAACCTTAGAAGAAGGCCCTTGTCTTTGCAATGTTCCAAGCCTCTTGGGGGCCATCAAATTTTGACCAAGTGATTTGGCCAAGAGAAGTTTTATGGTCAATTGGCGCTTTCGATCCAACCCGTTTGACGATGTAAGCCTTCTTGTTCAAGAGAACCTCAATCGCCTTGGATCAGAATATTGGTAATTGGGGCTGACATGGATAACTGCATGTTAACTTGATCTGCGCGTGAACACCAAACCTCTAAACAGACTTGCGCTGAGGGGGGAAATCAAAGTGGGTGGCAAGTCACTGCTCCAGTGGGGCCACACACCGTGTAGCCATGTTTTCCCTTGCTGCCCTCGCATGGATAGGCTTCACGAGGAATACCAAGCTTCTTCAAGTCGTAGGTCTGCCACACTGTGCCCGAAAGCTTCTTGAGGTGCCTCTTGATGGCCTTTGTCTTACCGCTGCCTGCCTGACAGAGACTGGCTTGAGGAGGGGGCCAGTCCAAGCTCACATGTCACAAGATTCTTGAGAACCTACCCGTTTAGATTGTGCGTTGTGGTGATGGTGAACTCTCTCTAAGTCAAGGGACCTGTTTTGCAGGGATGGGTAGATCACCCAAAATCTTAGCTTCAGCATCACGAAATCCCGGAAGGAAGGGGATTGCCGTCTTGGAAACAACGGGCGCCTCATCGTCATATTTCGTTGGACTGGTCTCCTCCTGCGCGTGGGCACAGCCAACAGAGTGGACCAATAAGTCTGACAAGAAACATTGTGTTGGTTTCACCTCCCCATTTAATTTTCTTTTAACAGAGTATCGAGTTGCATGTCAAACTCCACCTGTACTGATTCAATCTTTTTGGAAAACTACAGAGCCATTCTCCTTCTTGACCGCGGTGTGCACTGCATCCCGAAGTGGAGCGGCAACGGGTCGGGCCCCGGAGCTGGCAGCCTGGAGAAGAAGTTGAAATGGCGCGCGGACAAGTTGTGAACGCAATGTGCATTTTCACGCGTAAAGACATGATAGTAATGGCAATACGTTGAATATAAAAGAATGGAATAAATAAGAGTGCGTAGGTTTCGACCATGGATGGGTTTGTGAGCTCAACGATGCATGGGCGCTGTGTTCAAATCTCCAAAGTAGCAAAAACTTTATATAAGGGCCCTGGCCTCTCCAGCCCTGGCTGAGCGATAGAAATCCCAGTTGTTCTTGGTGCAAAGCTGCGCAGTCCTTTCGCAATGTCCATGACGGGTGTACTGCCTCACACAATGGTAGAGGTAATCGTCGAAGAGCTCATGCCTAGGCACAAATGGTAGCGGAGCAAATCAGAAGTGGTATAGCGGAGCCAAAGGCATGTCAAACTCTTTTTGACATAATCGCCTACACGCATCGAAATAAACACAAAGACCACCAAAGTAACCGTTACTCACTTCCACGCTAGAGTACCTCACATCCTGCTTGGAGAAGGTACCCAAAAACTCTGTCCGTGAAGGCCGACGCTTGCAGCACCAATCATACAGGGTTTCAATTGGAACAACCGTCTTCTCAAGCCGGTCAAGCGCACCCACTACTTGGTAGGCCTGCCCCATCCATGCTCCCTCGCGCTGGCTGTCAGCCATGTCATCCATGGGTCTATCCTCATCACTCTCATCGTCGCTCTTGCCTGCAAGGCCATGCGAAAACTTGCAAACACTGCGCGCAGAGCAAGATTGATGTTAAAATAGCTCAGAGCAAAACCATGAAACCTTTTCTGACAAGAACGACGTATTTCTTGCCCAGAACACCCTACCTGGAAGTCGGAGGGTTGACGCGCTCAAACTGTCGTGGTCGCGACGGTCCTCTTGAGCCTCATCGGACTCATCCTGACCATCTTGAACAGGGACAGGAGACACCTCGTCATCGTCACTTGGCATGGCCTCCTCGATGTCACTGCAATCGGACCCCTCCTTTTCCTCCTCAGACTCATCCTGACGAGCCTCAGGTCAGACTGGGACCATGAGTTTGCAAGCTCGAATGAAATGAAATAAAACCCACCAACAACAGACAATAACACCTGAACCTTTCATCCGCAGACATGCAACACGGCTGCGAGAGGGCGAAGGCCTCAAGAGCCCCTTCAACTGAGTCACCCGAGGGTGATTGCCAGCAGGCGACGATCGCCATAGTGATCGGACTGCCCCCACAAGCTTCTTGATCTTGACCCCCTCTTCAGCCGCAATCTGAAGTTTGGTGTTGGCTCCAACCAGCAGCTGTCCTTTGAACAAAGTGTCCAGCCACATGATGCAGTCGGTCAGGAAATAGCCCGAAGGAACCTTGAAGGTGCCATAATCGACACATCATCAAAACAATTTGCTTCACAACTATATATAAAACTATATAAAACCAATAAACCGGTTGCATACACCCATCAAAGAAACTCGGTCAGGGAATTCTTCAATCACTGGCTTGAGAACGTGAAAATTAATAGCAACATCTGCTGCTGATGGCCTGACTAGGGCCGAGTCCAGCCGAACAATGCCACCGCCGCTCCACTTGCCACTGTTGACCACTTCATGAGCACACATCGGCAGATGGTCAAAGATCCCCTTGGCCACTGTCTCCACGTGGCGGGAGGTCCAACCAATCTTGCCTGCACCTCACGCGCGACAGTACGCATGTAGAATATACCCAGAAAATGTCAACCCACCGAAGTCTTTAAACACGAGGAGACTTGGCTATACACAGGGGGCTGCGATCCAAAAAACTAAAGTGTAGGCTTTGAATGAGCCACGACAAGATCGCCATGTAGCGTGCGCTGCCTGTCCACCACCTTCAGCCTGCTCCACAAGCGAACAACGCGACTCTGGTCCAACGTTCATAGCTAAAGGCGGGTTTTTCGCAGCGACCTTCGGAGCAAAAAGGTTGCCTGCGAGACCGGCGAGTCTCCACACTGCAAGGTTTTCATGCGACACAGCCGCTGCATGTCTGCCTTGCCATCTCACATGTGCCTCGAAGAAACAACAATAATGCAAACAAACAATTGCGGTGGCCTGCGCAGAACCCCAGGCGCGCTCGGGCGACAAGAGCTGAACCAAACGGATCGTCGGTGCCGACTGCAACGCGGCTGCAAAAACAGGAAGACATTCCTTCACAAGTCGAAATGCGAAGACTCAAGTCCAAATGTTTCCTTCACATAAATGTGCTCTTGATTCTCTCTCCATCCAAACGCGTTTAGAATTTCTCCTTTGCTCTTCTCTTTGTTTCCCAGCGCAATGTTGGGCAAACAAAACCACAGTTTACGCACACGATGCGTCGATCGGCGTTTGGTGCAAGGTTTCACGTTTTGAAAGCGCCGTGTGGAACACAACCAGGGGCACCACGCGACATCGTCAGTGCTCTTGCTTGTTACATACTGTAGCAAAACATTGGGGGCGCTACCTGAAAAACACAGGGCCCATGTTTAACGTGTATAACACATGATCATTATTTCCCCTGGGAGCGCGATGCGAGGTAACAAGCTCATGGATACGCTAGCTTTTTTTTGCAGCAGCGTGCCCAAATACAAGGGACACCTTCTTTTACAAAGTGCAAGTGGCGTTGCCTATTGTAATCACGATGCGCAAATAAGAAGAGAGGAGCCTCATGGCAGGTAAACTGACGGATCTTTATTGGCATGATTCAGGTAAAAGGGATTGCCATTTTGTGGATCACATTGGTCTTGGATGCAATGGAAATCGGAGCTACCACTATGCGCCGTTTCGAGGGACCTGTATCTGCTAGAATAAAGCCATTCCCAGGATCACGCAACGTGTGCACAAACGCTCGTGGCTGGCTCTGCTCTTTTAGCACCTCCGAGAGTTCGGGGCAAATGAACAACCGCAGCTGGAAAGGCGCGAAGCCTGACATGGGAAGAACTCCAAGGGTAGGTGCACTAAAACAACCTTTGGCAGAAGCAAACGAGAAAGAAAGGTCCAAAAAGAACAAGAAAGCGGAAGTTTGAAGGAGAGTGGAAAACATCCAAAAACCATGCATGTTGGAAGCAGGTCATTCATACAATTGAAACTAAAAAGAGCAATAGAAAACCTACGACAACCGTTGGTAAGTGGTGTGGTGCGCTCCAGCGGTAACAGCCCGGTCAAGCGGTAACCACCGCTTGAATCAAAGTAGCGAGGCCGTGTCGCCAGGATTGTACACAACAGCCCCCCTTGGGTAGAGTTCTGGCCTGCATGTTATCAGGATTTGTGCTTTACACATTTACACAAGTTCGTTTGCCGTATCTTGCCCACGTGCTTCTGCTTGCCCTGAGGTGAGGTGAAGTAATACGGGCTATGAGAACGTAACGAGCTAAAATGATGATCACTGAGGCTCACATACATCTCCCCAAAAGTATCCAAATGTGCATTATGGACCTGTCATCTGTATCCGGCCGCAAAATACATCACCAATATTGAAATATGCATGCGCAGGCGTTTTCTGAGGACAACGGGACTCCTGCCTTCATCGACCCCCCCACCGGTGATCGCCCCGACTATGGCCCATACACCCGCACGAACCGGGCCCCTCTTTCCGGGACATGGCCTCTTTCACAGCACGCGCGACAGCGCCGGCTCAGGTGATGTAGGTGGACGGAGGAACTGGTTGCAAAGGAGCTCGAGCTCTGCGAGCTGGACGATTCTTTGGGGTCGATCAATGAGTTGGATGGAGAATGTGTTGTTGATGAAGATTTCTCTTGGGCCCCGAAAAGCCGAGACGGCGATGTTTTGGGTCGATCCACGTTTGTTCTTTTTGAGCTTTTTGATATGATGTTGCTTTCCATTCTCATGCAGTGGCTACGGCGTTATCTTTACTGTAACATGGCACATATGACGCATATGACACATTGCAACCCCTTGCGTTTCGAAGTTTTTGGGGAGGACGCTCACCACATGAGCTCCCTCAGCTCCTTGCGGACGACAAGGCAAGGCATGTCGGCCTCAAACTCAATGTACGAAACAGAGTGGCGCAGGGTGGAGTCGAAAGGGGGGGGGGGCCCCCCGACATCAAAAATCATATCTTAAATCAACGAAATCAGGACATGTAGACTTCTACCACCCCAATATCATTTTGCTACAGCAACGAGAACTCAGGTAGCCGAAGCTACCTTTCGTGACAAGTGTAAAATCACGCGGCCCAGAGCACCCAGAGTGTGCCCGGAGAAGCGAGACAAGTGGGAGACAAGTGTACTGGGAGACAACTGTAACATCATGTGGCTAAAGCAATCGCAGTGTGGCAGGAACGCAAGCCCGGAGACAAATGTAAATCATCCGGCCGGGCATGCAACCCTTTCAAAGGAGTAAGAACCCCTCACAGTAAACCTGTTTGGGGAACTTACTATTATCCCCTGCTCATCAGAAAAAAACTCAAGCCATCCGGCAGGGAACATATTGATTGGTGTTTGAGGCCTTGTGGCTTTCAACAAAGTAGGGCCTCTACACTTCGTCCACTTTTTGAAGAACTTCAATTTGAGCATCCTGCGAAGTTAGGCCTCCCCACAAAATGCAGAGTCCGATGGCAATTGACCAATAGTATCCAATAGTATGGCTGATACTTGCATGTGATGATTTACCACTACCAGTCCCTAGCTGGAAAAACCAGAATCACAGGCAACTACCTCTAGATACAGTAGTCGTACCAGGTACCACCTGCATTCAGTCAGACCCATGTTCTTGATCCGTAGGATGGAAAAACTTCACATATAAGTATACGTCATATATATATATATATGTATACATGTATACATATATGTTTGTGTGTCCCAAGATTCTCTACAAGTGAGCAAGGGCCATTATCAGCCTTAAGATGCCCAAGTGCCTCAGCATGAAGCACTCTCGCTAAAACACTCCGAAGTTGAATTCAATGCAAATGCATGGGCCAGCGTTTGACACTTGGTGCCAAGCAAATTGAGGCTCTGTCAAGGGGCTGTTCGAGATCTTGAAATAACGCTGGAGCTCCATCGGCTCCATCCTAATCAGCTTCACCTGCGCTGCTCCCGTTCTTGACACCAAACAAGCTGCTAAACATAACGTCTCTCTCCGTTCAAAGCAAACCGTGGACATGTTCCAAGTAAAGCCAGCAAAGCTGGGCATGACATCATCAGTTCTGACATATCTCCAACGTTTTCACAGTTTCGTGAGGGGAGCGCAAGCCAAGCTTCACAACTGCCTCACACCTGATCGGGTGTGGGTTTCGTGCCAGAGTGTCTATTTCTGAAATTTTGGTCCTGAAAGGTACAGCACGAGATGTCGATCTCAAAACGGTGGGTCGTGCCGGTCGTGCTGTTGCATACCAAGTCAGCAGTGGTGGGACCAACAGATTTCCAAATGAGGCGAAATCCAGCAAGTTTGTGGAGTGCTTCGTTCTCTGCGAGTCTGGGAGCGCTTTGGATCATATGACCTGTCGCCTGAAATCAGTTCGGGCACGTGGAGGAACAGAAATGGCGACCAATCAGAGCTGCTCAAAGAGTAGAGTAGAACTTATTATATATTAACCCCTGCTCATCAGGAAAAAAGAGCAAGCCATCCGGCAGGGAATATGTTGATTGGTGTTTGAGGCCTTGTGGCTTTCAGCAAAGTAGGGGCCTACGACGGAAGCCAGACCTCTACACTTCGTCCACTTTTTGAAGAACTTCAATTTGAGCATCCTGCGAAGTTAGGCCTCCCCACAAAATGCAGAGTCCGATGGCAATTGACCAATAGTATCCAATAGTATGGCTGATACTTGCATGTGATGATTTACCACTACCAGTCCCTAGCTGGAAAAACCAGAATCACAGGCAACTACCTCTAGATACAGTAGTCGTACCAGGTACCACCTGCATTCAGTCAGACCCATGTCCTTGATCCGTAGGATAGAAAACCTTCACAACAAATACTTGATATGTCCCAAGGTTTTCTACAAGTGGGCAAGGGCCGATATCAGCCTCAAGCTTCCAAAGTGCTTCAGCATGAAGCGCTCTCGCTAAAACACTCCGAAGCTGAATTCAATGCAAATGCACGGGCCAGCGCACGTTTGACACTTGGTTTATCAAAAACTTTCATATGGTACGGCCAGAATCCTTGGTTTAAAAAATAAGAACGTCAAAAAAAAGTCACTTGAAAAAGTCAAAGTCAAAAAAACGTCAAATTGAAAAGTTAAAAAAACACAATAAAGTATTTTAATAAAAGAAATATTTAAAACAATAAGAATAGTAATAATACTAAATATAATATAAAGTTAAAATGAAACAAAGCATGCGCCGTTTTCTCAGCAGCGTTCGCTGAACCTTGGGCCTCGTGTGGGCGTGGTAACCTGTGTGCATGCCATCCTGCTGCCATCATGTTACGGGTTTACTGGAATTCCGCTAAGATTTGACACGCCCCCTATGGCTGCAGGAATGCATTGTGCACATGGTTTGATTGTCTTCACATTGGAAGTTCGTGAAAGATGACTACAGTCATGGGTGTGGTAACATCCTCCTGTACGTGTTACCCACCACTCCTTTCTCTCAAGCGTGAAACGTACTGATCCAAGCTTCTCTCTCACCACTTCATTTGCTTGGATCATGACTTCTTTGGCTTTCTTCTTCCACAATTCGACAGCTTCCCAGGCCCTGGCACAGTCCTCAGCCATCTTTTCCATTTCGGCAACATGGTCATCTTCTGTGCCACTGGACCCGGTCATCTTCATCGTAGTCCTGGCTCTTTCTTCCTTCAGGTTTTCCAGCTCAAAGCGGAGGTCGTTGCACATATTGTACATTCGTACGACCTCACGATGTTGGAAATCCCTATCTTTCTTGATCTCCTCTATCTTTTCTTCCTGTTCGGCTACCACGACTTCAAGCCGAACAATTTGCCACTGCATGTTCACCTTCTCCTGGTCTTCTTCTTGCCAAGACTCACCTTGGGGTGGTGTCACCATCTCCTCACTTCTCACATGCGGTTCGCCCGCTTGACTGTGCTGCTGCCACTCATCCTGCTTCTCCTCGATGTCCTCCTCATAGGTTCGTCTTCCATTCAACCATGCCCTTATGCCATCTACTGCCAGCCGTGCCAGACTCAAGGCCCCAATCATCGACAGGCATAGCATCGTCACCAATGGCCGAACCCACCAGGACTCATCGGGTTGACTTTCTTCTTCTGCTTCTTGTACTTCTGTGCCCTGCCCACCTTGAAGCAATGACAGGGCGATCACCAATGCTACCTTTGCATTTGCTCCCATGGCTTTTGCCATCTTGATGGTATTCTTCTTGAGCTCTTCTTTCAACTTGATCTCATCGTATTGGGCTTTTCCAATTTTCTCATCATCACCATCGATCATCTTGATCAGGTATTTGAGGCCGTTCATCCTTGCCTTGCTCAAGATCTTGGTCACAATGTCACTTGTGTTCACTGCAGTTGGGATTCCGGTGATGCGCACCTCTTTGGAGTTGACTCGTTGTTGAAGCCACAACAGCCCTGCTGCTATGTGTCTTGTTCTTCCAACTCCAATGCGTCCAGCCAAGGCCCTTGCTGCAGAGGAATCTGATCTGCATACCATGTCCGCACCCTCATTCGTCAGAAATTTCCAGCAATGTCGAATGAAGATGCCTTCACTGCAACCTCCAACCATAGCAACATATTCGCTTTCTCCACTCGGCAGAGCTATTGAACGCTGGCTTCTGACATAGCTCTCCACTAAACATCCATTGAGAAAAATCTGCACTGAGCTCACTGACTTTCGACTGTCCCGTTGCCCGGCATAGTCTGCGTCACAAATGACCTCCAGAATGCTCTTGTTCTCCTGGTCGATGTTCCATTCATAGATATTGTCATCAGTGTTCAACACACATCGACCTTTGGCTCCATGTTCAAACAAAATGCCTTCATTCATGGTGCCGAGCAAATAGGAGCTCACGTGTTGCATCGCTCGCCAGCCTTTCTTCGTTGAGCATGACATCAAACTTGCCAAGCCTTGGGCCACATACTGGATGTCTGGCCTGTCAGGTGCAATGTACAAGAGCTTTCCAACTGCACTCCTGTACTTGGTGATGTCCTCTGGGTTCATGGGCTCATCCTCCTTGCTGAGCTTGTTGAAATTCCCATCACCTGGAGTAGATCTGAATTTCTTCTGATCCACTTTCGTCAACTTGGCCAAGTCCTTGATATGCTGCTGGTCAGGACGGATTGTGATGCCCTTCTCGATGATCTCCATTTGCCTCTTCAGGTAACTAAAGCTTCCAGAACGAAGGGGTCCACGCTTCTCTGTTTTCCAGCCTTTGTCTTCCATGAACTTGATGAATCCTTCAGCCACTTTCTCATTCCCCACCAACAACAGATCGTCAACGTGGATGGTGAGGTACAGGCGGCCATCATCTGGATTGTCATCATCTTGGACCATCTTCATCATCGTAGGTTGCATCACATCTTGCACCAGGCCGTATTCTTTGGCCACTTTGCAGAAACCTTTGAACCATTGTGCTGCTGCATTCCGTTGACCCGGAAGATTCATCCTCAGCTTGTACTGGGCATTCTCAGTCACAATCATGGCCCGCTCATCCTCCGGCTGGTCCATCAACAGGAAGGCGTCCTTCACATCCAAGGTGTACAAAGCCAAACCTGTTCTCATCTGGAGCTGTAGCAGCATGCGAACCACCACCGATGCCGAGGTTGGGGCGAAAGCATCTTCGGTGAAGACAGACCACTTGAACTGCCTGCCCACCAGTCTGGCCCGTCGGAACCATCCACCCTGTTCATCTCGATGTTTCCATGTGATGACCATTTTGGATATCAACACATATGAGCCCTCTTCAGCTTCTTCATCGTCTTTCATCTTCTCGAGAACTCCCATTGCCTCGAGCCGTGCTTCCTCGTGCTTGCATGCCTCTGCATCCAGTCTGGCTAACTCCTCATCATCAATCACAGGTGTCTTGCCCTTGTTGGTGTCAATCTCCTCCTCCTCGTCACTGACTGCATTCAACTGATGTTGTAGGGCTTCTTCTGCAATCATCTCATCGCCGCCTGGGAACTCCTCCTGGATGCTTCTGACTCGACGCTTGGGGCTCATGCGTCTCTTCTCATCATCTTCCTTGTCCCAAGGAAGTGAATACTCTCTCTTACCCAACAGAGGTGGTGTCACTGGTGCCAAGCTGCCAACCACCTCTTCCATACGTTGTCTCTTTGGGCTGGCCTCATGTGCACCTGGAGGGAAGTTACCGGCTGGTTCTCCTCTCATAGCCTCCGGAATGGGCAGTCGGACGATCTTCCGTTTGGGACTTTCATCAACTTCACCCAGTGGCAAACGATGGAGACTTCGTGGATCCAATGCCTTGGAACTCGATTCACTGCTCCTGACCGGTACTGCTGCTGCCGGAGGTGGTGCTGCTGCAGGTGTAGCAGGCACTGGTACGATCATCGGGGTCTTCGTACCTGGTGTTTTGTTGCCTCTTGGCTTGTTGCCTGGTGTTGGAGGTGCTGGTGTTCCTGCTGGTGTTTTGGCCTGTCCCTCTGCCAAGAATCCTGGAGTGGTTGGACCAAAAGCATGGCCATACATGCCAACAGCCACTTGCTCACCAACTGTTTTTGCTTCCTTTTCAACCTGCTCATCACCGACAGCATCCTCCGCCATGTCAGCCACTCGTTGCTTTGCAGCGAACTTCGTCTTCATCAGGATGCCTTGGACTGAATATTGCCATGGTAGACCTCGACAATGAACCAACATCTGACCATCAAATTGCTCAGGCAACCTCCTGATTGATCTCGCTTCCACCGCTCCTGATCTTGTGAGGCAGATGTGACTGTCACTCCATGAGCTCTTTCCAACCCAAACGCCTTTCCGGTACACAGGGTCTCCTTTGTGCTTGAATGAGGCCACATCCTTGAATAGCACGGTCTCTCCCCATAGCGCCACTTTCCCCACATATCGTCTGTCAGTGAGGAACTCGAAGGATGTGGATCCGTTGATGACCCGGTACCTCAACAACAGCCATGCAGCATGCCTGAAGCTCCAAGGGTAACAGTGCATATCACCAGTCAGTTTCACTCCAGCTTTCTTGTCTGCAAACTGTCGGAGGGTGTTGGCCAGTTTGCGGACTGATTGAACAGTCCTCTCGGCTTGCCCGTTTGATGCATGCTGATCTCTTGATGTAGTTCGAATCTCCGTGGTCAAGCCGAGAGTGGCTCGGGCATGCTGGATTGCTCTCAGGATTTGTCGAGTTGCACGTTCGCCATCAGACTGAAAGATGATGGGCTGCGTGTTACACACCTGCATGCTGAATCTGGTGAGCTCCTCAGTAACCATCTATTTAGTGATGCACTGCCCTTTGCCTGCACGGGGATGCATAGTGTGGCTTTCGACTCTGACTCGGCCACATACAGCTCGGCTGCTAGCACCGTACGTGGCAGCCCAGCCTGGGAGCCACCCAGACACAACACCTTGGCCACAGCAAGGTTGCCTAGGCTGCGTTGCAGGTTTGCGGCCAAAGGCGCCGAGGAGGGTTTGAGGGGGGCCGTTGCCTTCGGAAGCCTAGAAAAGAAGAGGCGGGCGAACGCCCATCTTCCGTCCACAGACAGGCATTAGCCCCGCATCGCGCCCCTCCCGGTTCTATCCTCAGCCCCGTCCACGCCCATGTTCCGTCTCATCTCTTCCGTCGACGGACGGACGTTAGCTTTTCATCGCTCGTCCGCGGTGGACTGGAGGGATTCTAACTGCCACTGCGCCAACACCGGACCACGCCCACAGACCAGCGACCGTTCGTAAGAAGCAGTGATGTCAGCACCTGGGCTGCATCACCGCAAGCCTCACCTGGTCAGCTCTGAGCTGCCCGGCAAGGCCCTCACAAACGGTCGCCCATCCGCGAATTCATCAAGTCCTGTCAAAACCACTGCCCCTGCAGCACCCCAGCCCACCACGACTGTGCATAGTGCTTGCACTCCCTACCTTCAGCTTCCTGAGGCTAGAACGCCCATCTTCCGTCCACCGACGGGCATTAGCCCCGCATCGTGCCCCTCCCTGTTCTATTCCTCAGCCCCGTCCACGCCCATCTTCCGTCTCATCTCTTCCGTCCACGGACGGACGTTAGCTTTTCATCGATCGTCCGCGGTGGACTTGAGGGATTCTAACTGCCACCGTTCCAACACCGGACCACGCCCACAGACCAGCCACCGTTCGTAAGAAGCAGTGATGTCAGCACCTGGGCTGCATCACCGCACGCCTCCCCTGGTCAGCTCTGAGCTGCCAGGCAAGGCCCTCACAAACGGTCGCCCATCCGCGTGCGTTGTCCTTTGTTGGCCAGATGGCCATTGGACTCCGCAAGCTCCAAATTCATCAAGTCCTGTCCAAACCACTGCCCTGCAGCACCCCAGCCCACCACGACCGTGCATAGTACTTGCACTCCCTAGCTGCAGCCTCCTAAGGCTAGAACGCCCACCTTCTCCCCACAGACGGGCAACCACCGGAACTACACAAACAAACGCCTTTAGTTGCACATGCTACACTCCTCCTGAAAAGGGGTCGGCGGCACCCGGGCGAAGCCCTTACAATCCGGGCGCCGGCCACGCGCCCGTGTCCTTGCCGGAGGCCTTCGGTTGGTAACCGAAGGTTATATACGCTCGCCGCCCCTGCCGCCGACCCTTTTGTGGAGCCGCGTGTATACCTCAGGTCGACCTCAGGTCGACCTCCGCCCGACCTCAGGTTAAATCCGGTCGACAGATTTATATGTATCTTGCGCAGGATGTTCAAAAAATGTTCAAAAACATCGTGTTTTAAGGTGTTTCGTGGCCTTCGGCGGATACGACTTTCGCCTAACGGGGCGCCGGTGACGTCGGTTATGCGTGCCGCGCGGACAGGCTTAATCGACATTTCGTGGGTGTTGGGGACATAAGTTGCTTAATATATCCCAAACATAGGCTCAAGATAGCCAACATATCCCCAACATATGCCCAACATAGCCTCCAAGATGGCTCAACATAGGGCCAACATGGGGCCAACATACGCCAACATAGGCCAACATAGGCCTAACATAGGCCGACCTAGGCCCAACATAGGCTCAACTTGGGCCCAAGATGTCACCATGGCTTTCCTTGGTTCTGGGGTCTTCTTTTGACCTGGTGGCTACACACTGCTGGCACCACGACTGGAATGGGCTCGTATGACTTTACTCAAGAAGAAGGACAACAGCGGACTATGGGAGCAGATTGAGAGCTTGGCCGTGTACCATGACACACCACTGCCTTTTCGACCAGTTCCAGGAGGACCTCGACCTGCATTGACCTTCGTGGCCCCAGGATTGATCAGAGATTACTTTGTATTGAGTTCAGAAGTCCCAGTGAGTCAATATCCGTTGCTGCAAGGTGAACCATCTTCGTGGCCGGATGATGAGCGGGACGAAGAAGGTGGTGAGTTTCCTATGTTGGCAGCTGGCAGTGGAGGAAGAGCTGAAATTGCCGAGGATGTTCACTTCATGGATCCAGATGAGCTGAGGGTCCAGATAGACGATCTATGGTTCGACAAGGAGACGAAGTTGAAGGACCTACAAGACATATGCAAACGGCTGGGATTAGCAACTTCAGGCTCGAAGATCAAGGTGTTGAAGCGACTCCAACGCTATAAACACCAAGAGGAGGAGAAGTTAGCCTATGAGGTAGCGCAGAGGCTCTTTGCAGAGAGTCGACGTGAGGCGGTTCCATTGAAGGCACCAAAGCTCCCCAGCAGGCATGAGCAGGAACTTCATCAGTTGACACACCTGCCACACCATTCTTCACCGAACGAAAGACTTGGATCCAGAAAGTGCGTGGCCTGAGGGCTGGGGTGAACCACAATTCCATTCGGTAGTGCATGCCATCCTGGCACTTTCTCCAGCAATGCCAGCTCTCTGGATATGTAACCATGAAGTGCTCGTCCTTCACCTCGGACTGGGAAGACATGGTTCTCCTCGGCTTCCACCTCCATGTCAGGACCGTCTGACAGCTCCACCGGCTCGGTTTTCACTGCACCATGTTTCAACTTCCAGTTCATCCATCGAGCCATTCGTGACTGAACTTTTCCATCTTCACTGCTACTCGCCTCCACCAGCACATCACCTGACTCCTCCGTGGTGTAGCCCGGTGACCGTAGTTCCATATCCTCTGCCTCCAACGTTTTCGATCTCTTCATAGGTGCCTCATCAGCTGGTCTGCATCCTCCTGGCTGTGGCACTTGCTCAGATAGCTCTTGCGTCAGGGCCAACATCTCTCCATCTTCCTGCTCAGCAGCTCGCTTGACTCCACGGTCTCCTTCGATGGCCTCATGGCTGCAGTCTACCTTACTTGACTCGGCTGCTGGCTTCTCCTCATTCTCAGGGACCTCATTTTCCCTTGTGGCGATGTCATTCGCTGCAACTTCATTCTCCTTGGGCATCTCGTCATTCTGAGGAGCCCCATGTACTACCATCACAAGGTCATCTTCCACCTCATCAGCTCGGACTGCACAGACCTGGACATCCATCACCAAAGAATTGCATTCCAGTCGTGCAGGAATTCTCTTCCTCCTTTCAGGGTGCTCGACATATAGACCATTGTGATCTCGTGACAGCACCCAGCCCTGTTTGAGCAATCGTCCAAAGCTTAGCAAAGGATGTGATACTCCAACTCCCAGGGCAAACTTTTCCACAAACTCAATGAGCTCTCCATCATGGGTGTAGGCTTGAAGACGTAGCCTGCGGTTCCCTGAACTCTTGATTGCTCCTCCTTGAGCATCCATCATCGATACCGAGCGTGAGGTGCCTGGCATGCCCATGGCATAGTACTCCTCAGGTGCTACCGATACATCTGCCCCTGAATCCAATGTCATTGCAATCGTAGGGGCCTCGTGCTTCACCATGCAAACTCGAACTTCCAATGCTTCGTTCTTGGGGGATTGGGCTCGTAGGTCATGATCTCCTGTTCCTCCCAAGGGCGAAGTACCAGGTGGCTCAACCTCATCCTCCTCTATGAGTCCATGAAGGGCCTGCACCAACCCTTGGACTCCACCCAGGGAGCCAGCCGCCCCCGTCGTTGCCCCACCAGTGCCCTCGTGCTCCTCGATGCCGGCCATGTGCGAGACCCGGCTTCTGACACTCACCCGGGCTTTCGGTGAGCCGCTCTAACCCCGGTGGATTAAGGGTACCCTGGAGTTGCTGGGCCTACCAGCAGAGCTCCGCTACCATGAAACAAAGCATGCGCCGTTTTCTCAGCAGCGTTCGCTGAACCTTGGGCCTCGTGTGGGCGTGGTAACCTGTGTGCATGCCATCCTGCTGCCATCATGTTATGGGTTTACTGGAATTCCGCTAAGATTTGACATAAAAACAAAATAAATAAACGTTCTCGTTCTTTAAAAAAGTAAAACAGTCAACCATAGACCACAGCTCGAAAAAGTCAAAAAATAAGTCAAAAACAAAATCGAAAAAACAAGTAACAATAAAAGTCAAAAACAAGTCAAAAAATGTCAAATTCAACAAACAACTCGAAAAAGAAAAAATAATGTCAAAAAAAGTCAACCACAACCCCCCCCAAAAAAAGACAAAGTCGAAAAAAGGTCAAAAAAAAGAAAAAAAAACGAAAAACAAAAGTCCCAAAAAAGTTGGATCTGGGCAAATTGATGTTTTTTGACTT